CTGGAGGTGAAACTCCTCATTTCCTTCTAGTTTTGCACCTGAGAAAGTGCTGGGTGACTGTGGCTGTGCCATTTATAGTTTTTGGAGATCCTGTGATCCCTCTGCCCTTTATTAACACCCAGCTCCTCTGGGGCTGCAGTCTCTGTGCAAACAAGCATATTCCCTTGCTTGCCAGAGGCATGGCTGAGAGTGCTGCTCCTCTGGAGCTGCCAGAAGGGATTCCAGAATGTGTGCCTGCCTTGCTGGGCTGACAGGCAGAGCTGGAGCAGGCAGCTCCAGCCATCGCTGCATCCCCCAGCATGTTCCTTGAGAGGAAGCCAGTGGTGCAGGATGGCAGGATCAGAGGGCTGAGCAGTGCATGGCAGGAGAATCTCCCATCCTGACAGAGAGGCACTTTATCAGCTGAACGCCCATGAAGGCAGGAGGCTCCAGCCCTTCTTCCTCAGGACACTCCTTGGCTTAGGCAACCAGCCACTTCCTTCTGACCTGACGTGTCTGAGCTTCCCCAGATGCTGATGTGTGTTGAGCTCTCCTGGAAGTTGCTCTAGACCAAGTGACAGAAGTTTTTATTTCAGCATAGTGATTTCAGCCACACTCTCTGGAGACCACATGCTCTGGGAGGTTGGGACACACAAAACCTGCTACCAAATGGCCTGATGGCAGCACTGATGGTCTGTGAGAGCGGACACACATTAATCTTTGAAGGGAAGTGTTGGTGCAGGATTTCCAGGCTGTCCCAGGTCAGGTGTCGCTCTGTGCTCTCCCTGCTCATCATCTCCTCTGTCCTGCCCTGCCTGCGTCCTCTTCCAGGATCCGTCCATATGCAGCTGGGCCCAGGCAAGGCTGCCCTGCCACCCCTCTGCACTGATGTGGCACCTCACTGCTGCTCCATAGGTCACTGCTCCCTGCTGCATGGCTTGCAAGAGGACAGGGGAAAACCAGCGTAAGGATGGAGATTGCCTGGGGATCAAGCTTTTCTCCCTACTTGCTGGCCCTCTCCCCAGCTGAAGCCCTTCTGTGTAGGCCTGCAGAGGGTTTCTCCCATTCCATCTTCTCCGTGGCTGCTGGAACGTGCCAGGACAGTCTGCCTCGGCTCCGTTGTGCACTGCTGCTCCCACCCGCTGCCCTCACTCTCAACACAAGGTGAGCCCAACGCTCAGGGATTGGCACTGCCAGCTCCTGCCTTGCTGCAACACGTCAGATGTGCCCACCAGCTCCCAGAAACCTGAGGAACCTTCTGCGGCAGCGCTGATTTGATTTCAGACGGCGTCTGGTGATCGCCTGAGCAGTCTCGCCAGCACAGAAATGAATTGTTGGTATTCCCGTCAATGCAGAAAGCTCTGTGGCTGTTTTAAGTGTGTATTTTCTCTTCTAAATCCTTGAAACACATTGACCCTGTAAATGGCCACATCAGGTGATTCTAAGCACATTAATCCAGCTTCCCTGCCAAGCCGGAGGAGATAATCGCATTGCTCAGGCCTGGGGACACTGTCAGATGGTGCAGAGTGGCACGGATGTCACCGGCGCTGTCACCGAGCCCCTGCAGCGTCCCACTGCTTTGGGACTGCTGGCCCTTCATCCTCCACCCCTAAGCCGAAAGGTGCTGGGGGCAGTGTGCTGTCAGCGCTCTTTCTGTCACGCTAAACCTGTCCTGGGACCTCCAAGGTGTTGCTTTAGGGAGAATCTGGTCCCTTTCTGGAAGATTCTGCGAAGCTGTCGGTGACTGCTCCCTCCAGCTGGGAGGAAAAGAGATGGAATGAGAAGGGTGGGGCTGGGGGAGATACAGAGTACGTGTTGGCTCAGCTGGAGGGGCTGTTTTGGTGCGTGCAGCCTCAGGCACTCCGTGGTCCCCGCTGACGCTCCACGTTATCCGCTGGAAAGCCAGGATGCTGCTTGCAGGGGGTGGCAGTGCCGTCGGCACAAGTGGTGGCTTTGCTGAAAGTAGGGCAGCTCCCAGGAGATGCCTGCCTTGGGAGGAAACGTCCTTATGGAAGGACCCTGCATGAGTCTGGAGCCCAGATCCACCAGACCTGGCTCTCAGGGCTGGAAGCACCGAAGGAAGGGAACAGAGCGTGCGGCAGAACGGGTGGTTTAGCCCAAAACCTTCTTTAACAAATACAAGAGCTACGCTAGAGCTTCCCAAATGTCCTGTATCAGGATCTCTCATCTTCCCTGTCCTCTTGTGGTCTGCAGAAAACCGGAGTGGTGGGGGAACTGTGTGAGGGAAAGGGAAGGGGTTTTTCACTTCAGGAGACCAACTTCTCAATTTATTCTTCCTTCGCTTGCACTCCAAGTGCTTCCTCTGTGCAAGTGGGCAGAGGACTCGTGTGGCTCCGACGCTTGCAACAACAGGGATGGAGCTGCAGCCTGATCCACTTTCCATAAGAAATAACATCCCAGCGCTTTCTAGGCATATTAGGAATCACAGCTTGACACTCAATGACACTAAATTATTCTCGGGGTCCTTTGTAAGTTCTAATCATGCCCTATTCTAGGTTAAAATATTTATTTTGTCAATATATTTTCTTTCCAGTGTGTTTTTTAACCTCTTCTGTTAACCCTTCATGTGCTGAGATGTAAGAAATGAATGGTTTCTATTTAAATATATTCTTTTTTTTTTTTTTAATTGTTCTGTGTAGATTTCAGCTGCATCTTCGGCAGGTGTGATAGATAACAATGTGCTGTACAGAAATTTAGGGTGTTTAGGATGTAGGTAAGGCTCATAGGAGAACTGCTCATAAAAACGTAGCACGGTGTCTCTTAAAGGGAACAGAGACTGGTCCATACTGGGACCCTCACGTAGCCTCCAACATACCTTTTCCCTTCCGATTATCACAGCCTCCATCTCTGGGATGTGCTGACCAAACCAGCTCTGCCATTCTCAGGGCTGGCTTTGCACCTCCAAGCTGAAAGACTTCTAGTGGGGATTTCTGTTTGTTTGACTTTGACTTTTTTTTATGGGGTACATTGGCTGTTTCCACTTCGAAATGGAGGACTCGGAGCTGGCTGTGGTGGCGAGATGTTTCCCTCCAGTGGTGGAAGAACAGATCCGGGCCGTGGTTTCGGGCCCAGGGCAGGGGTGATGGCCCCTCTGTGAGCTGCCACGGGAGCCCTGGCTGTTCCTGCTCCCCTATTCCCTGCTCTCCTACTGTCACCCACGGAGAGAGGACGTGCAGCCCAGGAGAGCAAACACGGCTGCATTTCCAACACTGTTTTGTCCAATGAGTTGTCGAGTCTCTCGCGGCTGCTGGGAGTCCTGGAGTGGGAACTGCTTGTGCTATCTCCATCCCCGTCCATCCCTGCCCAGCTCCGTCATTGTTTACCTCCTCAAGTTTAACCACAAGGCTTGCAGAGCCTCCCCTGGAAAAAAACAGCTCAGGACAGTTATTTTTATGGAAATAATGAAGCAGTGAGTGGATTTAGAGCCATCTCGGAGGTAACCCTTCCACTGCTGGGGGCTCCCACCAGCCGAGGAGGCGAGGCAGGAATCCCCTTGCCAGCACCTTCTACCCGTCCCTCCCAAACCGCAGCCTCCGGAGCGGGCTGTGCCTGCCTGCTCCAGCCCCAGGCTCCCCACGCCTCCTCCTCACCTGGAGAGAGCTGAGGCTGCATCACCAAGAGCCAACTGGCCTCGAGCAGCGCTGAGCTCTGGTGCCGGTTCTCTTTAGCCCACGGCAAACCCGCTCCAAACTTCCCACCCTGCTCCGTGTTTTTATGAGTACGAGCTCCTCATTCCATACATGTTCCTATGAGCTGTTGTTAACCCTACAAACGTAACCTGTGTAATAGCTTCTCTGTATATTACAGCTGTAGGCTTTCCAGATAAAAGTGGATAATATTTATTTACTGAAGATACTGGATATTTTTTTGTTTGGGAATGGGGTAGGGGGAGAAAGGGGACATAACTGTTTAAAGAGATCGACTATGTAAAGAGAAACAAAATACACAAAAAGCAGAGAAACCCAACACTAAAACGTTGCTGTATTCACATAGAAAGTGTTTCCGTTAGGGACAAGACAACTGTATTAATCTGCCATTGTTTAACTTGCTCCAGAAATCATCTCCTTGGTTCCTGCATGTGAGATATTCCAATAAATACACTATTAGTGTGAGCTGGGGGTGCTATTGTCTGTGTCAGCTGGGGACTCGCTCGGCTCCGCTGCCCGGCCTGAGCACAGGGAATAAGTGAGTACAGGGGACACGTGCAGCTCTTGGGGGCCCATCAGATGTTGAAACTGGGAGTCCTCAGTCTCCTCCAGATGACAGAACCCCCGGTGTTCCCACTGGGAGAAGTGCTGTGCCCAGCAGATGCTCTCTGTGGGTCATGCTGTGTACGGTGCTGCGTTGCCACTGCTGGTAAATTCGTTCCCCACTAAATTCTGGCACATCTTTTGAGGCTGACAACAGGCAGGCGCACGGGTGACAACCTGGGTGTGTGGTGGGGTGCAAACCCCACCTTGAGGGGTTTGCCTGATGGTCCTTGGAGGACAACTGTGGATCACTGGCCTTGGCGACCTAGAAAGTGACGGGTCAGAAGCTGTTGAGCACTGCACATGGGTGATGTTCCCAGCCCATCCAAGGGCCACTTCCCCGACTCATCAGTCAGGAATTTGTTCCAACATCCCCATTATGATGGCGGTTTTGATGGGCAAAGGATAAGGGAGAGAGGATCAACTTGGGAACCCTGGAGAAGTGACACGGGCCAAACCCAAACCAGTTTGTCAGAATGGTGCCCTCCATCCTGCCCGTGGAGATCCAAGCTGATGGTTTAAAGCTGGGGAAGGGGTTGTGGAACAGCTGGAAAGATGGGTTTCCTCTCCCTGTGGCCATATATTAGCATTAAACCAGCCCTGCCCCAGCTTGTTTACCCCGCACTGATCATGTGCCTGCTTTGCTGTTGGATACATCCAGGGTGGTTCCTGGCCTGGATAATTGGGAAAGGTGTGGAGCTGCTGCTGCCCTGAGAGGGCAGAAATCACACAAAGAGCACCAGGTCAGAAATGTCCAGCGCTGTGCTGGGGGGCTGTGGAAGGGGGGGCTGCTCCATCACACTGTCCTCTGCAGCCCCACAGTTACACAGATGAGCCAAAGATCCCTCTAACCCCAAATTCTGCCTCCAACAGGGGCCAAAGTGGGTGCAAAGGGAAGACTGTGAGAGCAGAACAAGCATGTGGGGACTTGCTTTTCCCCTGTGTGCTCCCCCCAGCCACTGGTCATCCAGCTCCCCAAACCAAGCATGGATTCCCCAGGTTTGTGAACACTGGTGGGCTTCTCCAAACCTGCTCCTGTAAAGACTGTGCATGGGCTGGGAGCCTCCACACATCACTGCCAGCAGAGCACATGGCACCAACCCCCAATACGGGCAGAGGCCTGGGCAGGGTGAGTGTCACTGCTTTTTGGCATTGGGGAGCAGGTTTGGCTCCCAGTGGGAATTGGGAATGACCACACGTGCATTTGCCTTTTCCCATTTCACCTTGGGGTAAATAAACCTGGAGCGGGGGCTGCACTGGAGCGACACCAAGCCTGGCTGCTGTGTTTTCCCAGGCCATGGCTTCGGAAGGGGCAGTTGGCAAAGCAGAGTTACAGGCAGCGAAGGAGAGGCTTTAAATCTGTTTGCGGCAAAAATTAATGATTAACGCCACAGTGTGCCTTAACAAAACAACCCCGGAGCAGGCGGGACGCCACAGGCTGGGAGCACGTCCTGCTGCCTTCAACGCAGGGTTCAGGTGTGCTGGCACGTGGGAAACACCCGGGGGTTCACTTTCAGGGGGCCCACCTGGCTGAGCGAGGGGGCAGCGGGATGTGGGATGCTCCGTGCCTGGGGCCGCCACACTCAGACACAGCCCGTCCCGGAGCTGTCGCTGCCGCCGGTGCAGCTCGGGGTGATGCTCCACTGGTGAGACCGCATGAGCCGGCCCGGCTCAGTGGCCAGAGCCCAACCATCCCGGGGCCGGTTTGTTTTCTGTCTCATCCATCCTTGCGGTTTCCTCCCAGCCTTGCGCTCAGGAAAAATGTCCCAGTGACTCCGGAGCGACCACGTGGCCCGCCCGCCATCCCCGCAGGACCGACATGATGTAATCGCGGGCCCTGAGCCGTGATGTAGAATCACTCCACTCCGGGCTGCTGCGCTTATTGGCTGCGTGGCCCTGGTCCTACGGGCGGGGTTTTCCCTATCCCGCAACCCAGCGCACCCCCGGGAGCCCCGCCCCGCGTGTCATCCATCACCCCCCAAACCTGGCCCGCGGAGCCGCCGCGCTCCCTCATCCTTCCCCGGTGCACGGAGGATGCTGCTCTTTGCTGTGGTCCCCCCTGGAGCAGGGGAAGTATCACGTGTGGGTCCCTGGGGTGCACAGACCCTCTGGATCGGGATCGGGGAAGGGGGACTGGCAAAATCCGGCTTCTCGTGCAATTTATGCAAAAATAAAGCTGTGTTTGTGCGTGTTATTTCCCTCCTCCATGTTGATGTGTGTGATTTCCCTCCTCCGTGTTTATGGGTGGGATTTTCCCCCTCCATATCCCGCGGGGAAGGCTGTGCCCCACATCTTGTGTGGGTTATTAAAGGTCTGTGACCCCTGCGCTCACGCGAGGCTCCTCTAAATCCACGGGGGCCGTGGCACATCCATCTCCCCAGCCCTGGAAACCTGCCTTCTCCTCCTGCAGCACATGGACTGCTGCAAGGAAAGGGAGACCCCATTAAAAATGGGGGAGAAGCACATGTCCCCCCTGCACACCCCGTGGCAGGTCGTGGATCTCCCAAGTGTTTTCCACAGTAGTGTTTGACGTGCTGAGGGATGTCCGAGTGGCTGGGGGTGCCCTCTGCGTGCGGGTGACGCTGCCCCAGCTGCCAGTGAAGGGCTGAGCCAGGACTGCCTGGGCTCGGCCCCAGCTCGGCCACAGGTCAATGTCCCCGGAGTGAGGAGGCTGGCGTGGGGGTGAGGGTGCAGAGGGGACCTGCAGGGCTGTGCACCCCCAGCTCTGCTGCCACCACATGCACACACAGCCTACTCTGCGGGGTCCCCATGAGTCCCATGCTGCACTGGGTTGTCCCTGCCATGCAGGAGATCCCTGAACTGCAGAGGGGGTGCCTGCTGTGCTGCCGTGTGGGAGCCAGTGAGGCTGGAGGGAGTTTCTTAAGGTTTAGCCGGGTTTAATGAATCCCCAGGTAGCCTCAGATTGTGCTTGGTGGCAGGGAAGGGGAGAGGAAAAACTTCAGGGAGCTGATATTGCAGTGCATTTTCTTTTCCTAAGTGAATCCCGGCAGCAGGAGAAACTGGGCCTGCAGGACGCGGGGCCTGGCATTGCCCTGCTGTGAGTGTCCCACAATGAGACCCACCACCCATGGGCAGCCATGATGCCAATGACACCAGTGTTTTTCCTGGATCCCACAACTGGTGGCACCTGGAAGGATGTGGCTCATCTGCGGCTCAGGGGCAGCACTGGTGTGTCCCTAACTGGGTGCATGGGAGCTTCTCCCACCCTGGGCCATGCCATGGATGGGCAGTGGAGCTGGGATGTGCTCCAAACCTTGGACCTGGGACGGGGAAGGCAGATGTCCACAGCCTGGAAGCCACAGGGCCTTCAGGAGGTGACACGATGGCCCAAGCTCACGCCAGCACGTGGACTCCGTGAGGTGCTAAGGCACCACCTCCTGCCCCTGCCAGCCCCCCTGCTTGTTCTCTGTGCACCCTGTTTGGGGCTGAGGGGCGTTTAATGCCCAGCCCAGGTGTTTAGGACCCAGCCCAGGGATTTGGTGACTGTTCCCAGGGATTTGGTGACTGTCTCCAGGGGTGGATGACATCCCCAGGGCTTGGTGACGTCCCTAGGGGTCAGTGACTTTTCCAGGGCTCAGTGTCTGCTCCCAGGGCTTGGTGCCCATTCCCAGAGGACAGTGACTTTCCCTGGACTTGTTCGCCCATTCCCAGGGGTCGGTGACTTTCCCAGGGCTTGGTGCCCATCTCTGGAGGTCGGTGACATCTCCAGGCGTTGGTGACATCCGCACAGGGGACTCTGCCCTGCTCAGGGGCTGCAGCGCCTGTCCTGCTCCCTGCTCCGGTGCTGGTGCACCAGCTCCCTTCCCGGTGCCTCGGGGTCCCTGCCCGGTGCCCCCGAGGGTCCCCGCTCGGTGCCGCGGGGGTCCCGGTGCGGCGGGGCGGTGCGGGGAGGAGGTGCGGGGCGGGACGCGGCTGCGGACACGCCTCCCTCCATCCCCGCCGCCCTCCCCTCCCGGTGGCAGCTCCGGGCACGGTTCGCGGCAGCAACTTGGCGGTTCGTCCCCGTGGTGCCTGTGCCGGGGCCAGCGCGGCCGTGGCGGGCGGGCGGCCCCGCCACCCCTAGAGCCGCCCGAGCCCCCCGGAGCCGCCGGGAGCCACCGGAGCCGCCGGGATGAGCTCTCTCGCCTTCGACGACGCGGGCCTGGAGGGGCTGGCACCGTCCCTCGGCCTCTCCGGGGCCAGCGACATCGACACGGCCCTGCTCAGCGACATCGACGGTGCGTCCCGGCGGGGCCGGGATGGGGCATGGCCGGGGCTGGGGGCACAACCGGGACCGGGCTGGGGGGTAACCGGGGCTCGGTGCACGGCCGGGGGGGCTGGGCTTGGTGCAGAACTGCGGTTCGGTGTATGAGCAGGACCGGGCGGGGGCACGGCCGGGGCTTGGCTGGGGGATACCCAGGCTCAGTGCATGGCCGGGGGCTGGGCACGGTGCGGTATCGGGGCTCGGTGCGCGGTCGGGACATGGCTGTGGGTACAGCTGGGGCACAACCAGGACCAGGCTGGGGGTAGAACCACGCTCGGTGCACGGTCAGGACCGAGCTGGGGGCAGAACCGGGTCTCAGTGCGTTGCCGGGACCGCGCTGGGGGTATAACCGGGCTCGGTGCATGGTCGGGACCGCGCTCCTGCATGGCCGGGGCCGGGGAGTCCAGGCTCGGTGCACGGCCAGGGAACTTCATACCGGGACGTAGCCGGGGCGGCGGGGTCGGTGCATAACCGGGACTCGGTGCACGGCCGGCGGACCGGTCTCGGTGCCGGGCCCGGCGTGGGGCGGGGGAACACCGAGCTGCTGGAGAGCGGGGTCGGTGCAGGACCGGGCTGAGTCCGTTACCGGGGGCCGATCCATAGCGGGGGGCTCGGGGTGGGGGGGCACAGGACACCGGGACCCCCGGGATGGAGGTGCCGATACCGGGACAGCTCCGACGATCCCCTCCCGTTCCCGGTCACAGCATCGTGTCTCCGGTGGTCCCGCCCCACCGTGACGTCACCGGCGGGGTTACTCTCGGTCGTTCCCTCCAGGACGCCTGGGTTCCTCCAACCCATCCAACCGGCACGGGCTGGCATGGGAGGGCTCCGCTCCGGCCCTGGGGCTGGCATCCACCAGCACCCACCTCCTCCCCGCTTTGGGGGGTCCGTGGGATGGGGAAACTCCAACGGGACCCATTCCCGGAGGGGACCCACTTCCCCGAGGGACCCATTTCTTGAGGGGACCCGCTTCCACCCACCCCAGTGGCACTGGGGGCTCACGTGCGCTGAGTTCAGCGATTCCATGGCTTTAGCAAAAAACGGGGGACCCCAAAATGTCTGGGAGCCCAGCCCTCGGCGAGCCCCGTGCCCGCCTCGCCTCACGCTCCACCGGCCCTGCAGGTCCGCGCCATCCGGCACGGCCGGCGGAGCACGCGGTGAGGCGGGCACAGGGCCCTAAAAACCCTCCCACATCTGCCCCACCGCGAGATCCGTGGGGATCTCTCCTCCGGGATCTGGGAGGGAGGTGGCATCCCAGGTCTGGAAGCTCATCCCAGTGGCAGTCGGGGCGGATCAAAACAGGTCCAGGTGCCACCTGCTTCTCTCGATGAGGTT